ACCACTGCACCTCTAGGCCTGGGGACAGAGTAGACTCCGTTTAAAAAAAAAAAAAAAAGTTAAAAAAGGAGTCACATGGGGTGCGGTGGGTCAGGTGAATCAGCACTTTAGGAGCCTAGGTGCGGGCATGGCCGCGTGGGATTACAGGCTTGAGCCACTGCGCCTGGCCTGTATTTTTTTTTAGTAGAGACGGGGTTTCACCATGTTAGCCAGGATGGTCTCGATATCCTGACCTCGTGATCCGCCCGTCTCGGCCTCCCAAAGTGCTGGGATTACAGGCTTGAGCCACTGCGCCCCGCCTCTCACCTTCTTTTTATTTATCACAGAATTTGAAGAAGAGCTGGCACCCGCAGACCCTCCGGAATGTGGAGAAGGTGTGGAAGGCCGAGCAGAAGCATGAGGCTGAGCGGAAGAAGATTGAGGAGCTGCAGCGGGAGCTGCGAGAAGAGAGGGCCCGGGAAGAGATGCAGCGTTATGCCGAGGATGTTGGGGCCGTCAAGTAAGTGAGGAACTGGGGGTGTCCTGGTGTATAGGGAATTGCAGAGCTGTCCTGAGATGCATCATCCAGTTGTTGTATAATAGCTGAGTGCTTAAGGGCATGGGTTTTAAAGCCAGACTAACCTAGATTCTAAGGTTGGCTTTGCATGTACTAGCCGTGGAACTGTGATCAAATTTGAGAGACTTGGTTACTTCAGTAGGACCAGGGAGCGATAATACCCAACACCTTCTTAAGGTTTGTTGGGAGTCAAATGAGGTAACACGTAAGGACTTGCTGTAAGCTGAGCTCACGGTAGATGGCTGATAACAGTGATGAGGGATGGTTGCTCTACCCTGCTGCTCAGTATGTGTTGAGGCCACAGTCCTGCCTTTGTTAATGTAGTTCAGGCTTGCTTGGGGGTGGCGGGACAGAGGGCAGGGAGTGAGGTCCCATGAGAGAAGGTGGATGGTATGCTTGTCAGTGAAAGCCGAGTGATTATGGCCAATCCCACTAGATTTTACCCTGCTTCAATTTCCTGTTGTATAATATAGGGTAGGAGTAGCAGATAATAACTACCCCATCCATCTCATAAAAGGAGATGGGAGTAAATATGTTTGAGAAAATAAAAAGCATACATTATGCAGTGTATTAAATCAGAATAAAATAAAATAACAGCTAGACTAAAATTGAAGACCAGATGTGGTGGTTCATGCCCATGATCACTGCATTTTGGGAGGCTGAGAAATCACTTGAGCCCAGGAGTTTGAGACCAGTCTGGGTAATGTAGTGAGACTCCATCTCTGTTTAAAAATATATAGGCTGGGTGTGGCAGCTTATGCCTATAATCCCAGCACTTTGGGAGACTGAGGCATGCTGATCACTTGAGGCCAGGAGTTCCAGACCAGTCTGTAGTAGGAACCCATCTCTACAAAAAAAAAAAAAAAAATTAGCCAGGTGCGGTGGCTCACACCTGTAATCCCAGCACTTTGGGAGGCCGAAGCGGGCAGATCACTTGGCCAGGCATGCGGTGCATGCCTGTAATCCCTTTACATGGCTTATAAGGCCCTTATTCTGCTCCTTTTGCTCCTTTCTCACTTGGCTTCTTCTTGTGTCCCTGCCCCATCAGCTTGCCACATCTCCAGCCACACTGAATTATTCCTGCTATGTTCTTTCTCACCACTGGGACTGCATTTGTCTGTACTGTTCCTCTCTGGAAATCTGCCCCCCTCATCTCCCTTTCACACATCATCAGGCTAGTTTATAATTGTCCTTAGATATTACTTACTGTGGGAAACTTTTCATTATTGGGAAAGTGCACCAAAGCAATATCTGATGGGGAGGAGAGAGAGGAATGTTCTTTGAGGGTGAATGGGGAGATCAGAATCAAGGAGAGATTCCTGGGAAGGAAAGTTGGAAGAGATTCTGGGTGGGTTGTAAACCATGCAAGTTTAGGGCAGGTGAAGTAGACCAAGGTAAGGTAGGTTGAGTTCCTAAGAATGAATGTCCATGCTAGGCACGGTAGCTCACGCCTGTAATCTCAGCACTTTGGGAGGCTGAGGCAGGCAGATCACCTGAGGTCGATAGTTTGAGACCAGCCTGACCAACATGGAGAAACCCTATCTCTACTAAAAATACAAAATTAGCCGAGCATGGTGGCTCGTGCCTGTAATCAGCTACTCAGGAGGCTGAGGCAGAGAATCACTTGAACCCAAGAGGCAGAGGTTGCCATGACCTGAGATCCTGCCGTTGTACTCTAGCCTAGGCAATAAGAGCGAAACTCTGTCTCAAGAAAAAAAAAAAAAAAGGCTGGGCACGGTGGCTCACTTCTGTAATCCCAGCAGTTTGGGAGGCCAAGGCAGGCAGATCATGAGGTCAGGCGTTTTCAGACCAGCCTGGCCAATATGGTGAAACCCCATCTCTACTAAAAAATACAAAAATTAGTCAGGCATAGTGGCATGCCTATAGTCCCAGCTACTCGGGAGGCTGAGGCAAGAGAATCACTGGAACCCGGGAGGTGGAGGGTGTAGTCAGCCGAGATCACTGCACTCCAGCCTGGGTGACAGAGCAAGACTCTAAAAGAATGAATATCCAGTGTCAGAAGTGCATGAGTTCTGTTCTCTTTCAAAATATGTGCCTTCCTGCTCATTACTGCATTCCTCCTGTCTTGTCATCACCAGCTCCAATTTAGGTATGGCTAGTGGAAGGATGACTTGTATGCTTTTAAGGTTAAAACTGTCTGAAGGGAACTCAGGAAGGACCTGTTCTATCCTGAAGCTTTCTTGTTGTTGTTGTTCTTGTTGTTCTGAGACGGAGTCTTGCTCTATCGCCCAGGCTGTAGTACAGCGGCGCAATCTCAGCCCACTGCAACCTCCGCCTCCTGGTTCAGTGATTCTCCTGCCTCAGCCTCCTGAATAGCTGGGACTACATGGGCACGTGCCACCACGCCCAGCTAATTTTTGTATTTCCAGTAGAGACGTTTCATCATTTTGGCCAGGCTGGTCTAAAACTCCTGATCTCAAGTGATCTGCCCACCTCCGCTTCCCAAAGTGCTGGGATTACAGGTGTGAGCCACTGCGACCGACCTGTCCTGAAGCTTTATACACTTGAACAACCTCCCCTTCCCCTCTAGATGTGTGAGAGATTATTGGAAGAAAACCTTGTCATTGTTGAAGACATCTTGCCTTCACACATTGTCATTGTTGAAGACATCTTGCCTGCCTTGGATATGGAAGGGTGGGTGAGGCAGGGCTAGTTACATCTGCCACTCAGTCACCCCCCGAATTATTCTCACCTTTTTTTTTTTTTTGAGACGGAGTCTCGCTTTGTTACCCAGGCTTCCTGGTTGGTACTAACCTAGATAGGTAGGGGGTGAGCAGATACTATAACTACCCACTCCATTCATAAAAGGGATGATGGGAGCATGTAAGATTATGTTTGAGGAAGAAATAAAAAGCACTACATCTATGCCAGTGTATTAATCCAGAACAAATAACGAATAAGAGCTGACTAAAATTGAAGACCAGACGCACGCGCACTGTGGTCATGCCCATGATCACGTGGCTTTTTGCGCGCCCCCGACGGGCTGGCAGACAATCACCTTGACCCAGGAGTGTGTTGAGACCGCCGAGGTCTGGGTATGGTAGTGAGATCCATCCTTCTGTTTAAAAATATAGTAGGCTTTGGTTGGTGGCCAGCTGCTCATGCTATAATCCCTACATTTGGAGGACTGAGGCATGCTGCCTGATCACTGGGAGGCCAGGCAGTCCACAGGCGCCAGTCGTGTCAGTAGGGAATCCCATCGCTGCCTACAAAAAAACACAAGAACAAAAAAAATTAGCCAGGTGCGGGTGGCTCCACACCTGGATGAAATCCCAGCCTGTGGGCCGAGGCCGAACAGCGGGCAGATACACTTTGATGGTCAGGGCAGGTTTGAGGACCAGCCCTGAGCCACCAACAGGGGCTGCGGAAACCCTGTCTCTATTGTCAAACAGTACAAAAATTAGCTAGGGGTGGGTGGCTCAGCACACCTGTAGTCCCAGCTACTCAGGAGGGCTGGGAGGCAGGAGAACTGTGCTGTGAACACAGGAGGAAAGTTTCAGTGAGCCGGAGATCATGGCTGCATGCAGCTCCAGCGCTTAGGCCGATGTAGAGTGAGAGTGGCATCTCAAAAAGATGAACATACAAAAAAAATCAGGCTGGGTTGCAGTGGGCCTCAACGCCTGTGTGACATCCTAGCACTTTGGAGAGGGCTCGAGTGTGGGCGCGGATTCACCTGCGGTCAGGAGTTGGAGATCGCCTGGACCAACCACGGTGAAGACCGCATCTGCTACTTAAAAAAAAAAAGAGTTGTACGCTGGGGTGTGTAACATGCTCTGTAGTCCTAGCTACTGGGAAGCTAAGGCAAGAGAATCGCTGTGTGGAACCTCCGAAAGGTTAGGTGCAGGTTGAGAGAGCTGAGATTGGCGCCCAGTGCACTCAGGCCTGATGACACCAGCGGAGACTCTGTCTCAAAAAAACACAAAAGAAACAAACCAGAGACAAACAAACAAAAAAACG